ATGTTGGTGATGCTGATCCGGATGGTGGACAGTGGCAGATTTGTACCAGCGGTCGTGGTGATTACGATCGCCGAGGAAATGGTCGAAATCGAAAACGTAATGGCAATGAATTAGAAGCGCATCAAAATAGTGCTGGTGATAATCGACGAGCAGGTCGAGATCGAAAAAACAATGCTGGTCGCCGGAGAAATCGCCGACCTCGTGATGGAAATCGTGATGACCGCCGGCGTCAAGACCAGGGTAATATGTATATGAATAACGAAAATAGTGTAGGACAAGATTATTTGAAAAAACCCGAAGAAAAGCGAGCTCGTGGTGGTCGTCACCGTTATAGACGTGAGGGTCAGTACCAGCGTGGCGTACCATCTCACTATCGAGACTCATATAACCAAGATCCTGGTTCACATCGTACGCGACGTGACTCTGGTTATGCGAATGGTTATTATTATCGCGCAAATGCAACGAATGGTGGTGGCGGTTACCATGGTGGAAAGTACAGTACGTACGAATACGATGATTATGAAGATCCACCGCCTCGACGCTTAGGATTCAATTTTGCTTCGGATTTCAAGTGAACAGTAATGGAGGTGAGGATGGTCTTGTTTGTATTTTTGTGACAAAATACTCTGTATGACTATATTTGTTAACGCTTCATGTTTGTTTGTTGTTCATGCCTTGCAGTCTTAGTGGATTATTTTACTTTGCTGTATTCACCTCGCAAAGTTTTTTTTCTTTGTTTCGCTCTTTCATTGCAGCGCAGTTGTATGCTACATTCTGTACATTGAGTTTTGGCATGTCTTTGTGAGATAATTTCTAGCCTTGTCAAGAAATGTCTGAGCAATCGTTGAGTCCGATTTGCTAGAATCTGGTCTGATGTCGAGTTTTTATTTTTTAATTTTGGCGCGTCTTAGACCCAGTTTGCTGCTGCTAAAGAAACAGCTGACTCTAAACTGATTTTTGAACGGGTCCAGGTTGCGAGTTCCTGAGTGCTTTGCTGTTTGCGAATGTTTTATGTTTCCGACTGCGCATATCACTCCTATTAATCAGTTGCATTAATTTTTTTATCTTCCGTTTGTTGTTCGTTCCTTCAAAAAAAAAAAAAAAAATAGTTAACACGTTACTTCCAGCTTCCGTTCATTTGAATTCTTACAAACGATATTCGGCAATGCTTTGCAGCCCGCTCGCTGATATCACTGCGCCACCGGATTTATCCGTTCTCTGCAGGACATGCATTCCCATGCATTGTACGAGCGGATATTCAACCACCAACGTGATTTGAAGTTCAGTAGAGCCTGAGACAGCTTTAAGAATGCGCTATATTTCGAGATTCTAACTGTAGTTCGCAATATTGCCACGCGTTCCGTCATTTCTTTGTTTCCTTGAGTTTGTTTTCGACTGTGTACTTTATGGAAGCAGCATATCTATCCGTGTAATCTTGTTTACTTCTCAGTTTGGCTTACAAAACTACGCAGTTTAATTTCTGCATCGATTTAA